CAACATGAAAGCATGGATCCATCCTGCCTTGTATCAACGGTTCAGGCTGCTGGTGGTGGTGTAATGGTGTGGGGGATATTTTCTTGGCACACTTTGGGCCCCTTAGTACCAACTGAGCATGGTTTAAACACCACAGCCTACCTGAGTATTGTTGCTGACCGTGTCCATCCCTTTATGACCACAGTGTACCCATCTTCTGATGGCTACTTCCAGCAGGATAACGCACCATGTCACAAAGCTCAAATCATCTCAAACTGGTTTCTTGAGCATGACAATGTGTTCACTGTTCTCCATTGGCCTCCACATTCACCAGAACAGGAGATTCGCTGACAAATCTGCAGCAACTGTGTGATGCTATCATGTCAGTATGGACCCAAACCTCTGAGGAATGTTTCCAGCACCTTGTTGAATCTATGACACTAAGAATTAAGGCAGTTCTGAAGGCAAAAGGGGTCCAACCTGGTACTAGCAAGTGGCCAATGAGTGTATAGCCATCCTACAGTCTATGAATCTATTGAAACAAGATTAGAACCCGCAACTTAAGGGTGTTCAACCGCTGACTGTCTTCTCAGAAAGGTGGAAAAGGTGCAGAAGAGACACAAAAAGGGATCAGATCGACATGTATTGTCTTGCTACTCAGAGAAAGGTGTGGAAGCAGGGAAGTGGCTGAGCAGATTTGTGAGCCGGCGAGAGAGAATAAGACGGATTTTAAACCCACTCCGAGAGACAAACGCCTCATTTTCTCTGCGTCTCTTGCTCACTTTTTGCACATCACGTCTCTCATCTTTCTCTCCCTCTGGCCATTTGAACTGCAAATCTGTCTACATACTCATGCACGCTTGCATACACAGAATCACCAAGCAGGCAACATACAAATACACGCAGGAGGGGGTGGGTTTGAAAGAAGAAAAAAAAGCAGCCTCTCTTGTTGTGTGTGTGTGTCTGTCATGACATCATGATAAACACTGCTGACAGATGAGGGTCAGACATGTTTTGGTACTGACATCTCAAAAAGAAAATAGTTTCCTCCTTCACAAACAGAAAACAGAGGCAGCCAGCTCAACCTGATAGCGATCGTGGCGTTGCACGGGCGCAAACACCTCAGTTTGTACGTGACGGGAAACCGAAAAACTGTGTTTGTGGGAGGGGAATTTGTGTGTGTGTCTTCATGCGAACGTGCATGCAAACATGTGCTTGTGTCTTCCAGTGGTGTTTGCGTGCATGCGTGTTTGTGTGCGCGTAGACTGACTTGGAGCCCTCGCAGCCCTCGGGGCCAGCTCAGCACTCAGCTTCTTATCTCTCTCTCAGAA